GTCCAATTGCCACAGTGCTTGTCAAATCCAGTTCTGATTAATCTCCTTTGTCAGTGTGTCCTTTGCCATTCCCTATCACTCCTCCCTGAGAGACTTCACCCTGATTCATAACAAAAAGGGGATGGCATATTCTCTTAGCTACTTCTTGCTGAAAAGGGACGCTGTGGGTTTCAGGGTGAAGATCTTCTCTCTACTCTAAAGGGCCCCTTTGGCAACAGGAAACACGTAGACTGTTGTGGAGATTGATTTTGGAATTTAGATGCACTGTTATCAATTGTGCTTAGCCGTACATGTTCATATCCTTGAAGATGTATCATATTGCTGTTTTAAGTATAGTTGAGTTTGATGTGCAGTGCACAATAAAAAGAAACACAGCCAGGTCCTATGCTATCCTTACAACAACTGCTGTCATACTTAAGCTTATTATTAGAATCAAAGGCAAAGTGTTTGCTGTGGAGTTGAAACCAACTCCTACCTGATCCTCCAGGAAGTTTTCAATGCTGTAATTTGCATGGGAAGAGATCACCCCATCTTTCTCCCAAGGAGACTCCTATGGATTTGAATGGCCAGCGATGTGGAGCCTCAGGGTTAGCAGCACGAATCCTTTCACTCTTTGTATGCAGAGATGTGCATAGTTGGGCTGTTGATCTTATTGCAGTGCTGTTGTTAGGTGCCTCCAATATCATTCATAGCAACTCTATGAATAATAGTTCTGAACCGTGGACTATCCTGTGCCATCAACATAATCTGTGATACACTTGAGCCCGTTGTCATAGTCACACAAATCCACCTCGTTGAAGGTCTTTCTCTCCTTTTCTGACCCTCTACCTTTCTAAGTATGAGGCCCCTCTACTTGAAATGGGCTTTCCTTGCAATATGCTCAAAGTATGTGAAATGAAGCTTTGTTCCTTTGCTTCTAAGGATCACTATATCCACAATTTATCCAACACATCTTTTCAATCTTTTGGCAGTCCAAAAGTTCAGTGCTCTTCTCCAACATCACAGCTCAAAGACATTAATTGTTCTTCTGTCATCCTTATAGTTTGTCCAGTTTTCAGATGCATAGCAAGTGATCCAAAAGACCATGCCTTGAATCAGGCCCATCTATTCTTCAATCTGATGTCATCGCTCTGTAGAAATTTAAAGGGACCCCTAACAACTGGATTGTCCAATATAATATATCATCTGATCTCCAGTTTGCTGGTACCAAGGGGTGTTTATTGTGGTCCAAGTAAGATGAATTAAGTGACAGCTTTAATCTATCTCCATCTATCAATGTTGATTATTGGTGTGGTGGTTAGGAATTTAGCCTTATGGTGTTGAAATACACTCCATATTTCAGGCTGTACTCTTTGATCTCCTGCACCAAGTGGTTCAGGTCCTCCTCCTTTTCAGCAAGCATGATTGTGTCATCTACATAACAGAGGTTGTTGATGCGTCTTCCTGCAATTCTGATCCCTCATTATTCTGCATAGAGTCCAGCTTTTTGAATGATTTGCTCAGCATACATAATGATTAGATTTGGAGAAAAGATAAAATCCTGACACATACATTTCTTATAATAAACCATTCAGTGTTCCCTTGCTCCATTTGAACAACAGCTTCTTGGTCTAGGTTTCATATGAGCAAAATTATAAGTGTTCTGGAACTCTCATTCTCCAATATTAGCCATAATTAGTTAGATCACATAGTCAAATGATTTTGTATAATCACTAAAACACAAATAAAGAGGGCTTTATGAGGAGGAATGTGGCATCAAGATTGGATGAAGATTCATTAAAGACCTATGATATGCAGATGACACAACCTTGCTAGTTAAAACTGGAAAAGACCTGAAGCACTTGCTGCAAAAGGTGAAGGACTGTAGTCTTCAATATGGATTGATGCTCAACATCAAGAAGATAAAGATTCTCACCACTAGGCCAATTTGCAGCATCATATTAGATGGAGAAGAGATTGAGGTTGTTAGCGGTTACAGCTTGTTTAGATCCACAATCAACCCTCTTAACACCAGCAGTCAGGAAATAAAAAGACAAACTGTGTCGGGAAATCTGCACTCATGGAGTGGTCCATGTGCTGAAGAGCAGTGATATCAGTCTAGATACAAAGTTACACCTACTCCAGGCCATGGGCTTCTCAATTACGTGTTATGCTTCTGAGATCTGGACAATGACTATAGATGACAGAGGAAGAATAGATGCCTTCAAATTGTTGTCCTGGAGAAGAGTCTTGAACATACCACAGAATGCCAAGAAAACAATATGTCTGTCTCAGAGAGGGTGAAACCAAGTATCTCCTTGGAGGCTAGGATGCTAAAGCTCCAACTAACTTACTTTGGGCACATTTCCAGGAAAGTTGGGTCCTTGGAGGAGGACATCATGCTCAGAAGGGTGGATGGACAGCACTTGGGAGGGAGACATCAGATGAAATGGATTGATACAGTAACCGGGGGTATGGAGTGTTGTGTGTCAGAATTAGTGAGACTGGCTCAGGACAAGGAAGCATTCAGAGCTACTGTACATAGGGTCACTATACATCACAGGTGATTCAATGGCACATAACAACAATAACATACTATGACAGGTTGGAAGCAGGAGTGGCATCCACTTCCTAAGCAACATACCTCCAGAAAGTCTATGAACTTTGATAAATGTTGATAGCTGTAGAGGGTCTTCAGGCCTTTTGTTCATGGGGTAACTATGAGACATGCTCGACCCAAAGGCAATAATCAACAGCAATAACAACAACAACAACAACATTTGTGCTATCAGAGTAGTAGTGTCAAAATCATTTCAGTGTCTTTGACGTTCTCCAGCTTCAGTGCTCAATCCTGACCAGGAGAAAAATTCAAGCTGCAATTTTATCTCAAAGAATTTATATTGTCTAAACTCTTTTACAGTCTACTTCTAGTTAGCTTCTCTGCCTCCACTGCCTCCCCAGGCTTTGGTTACTCCACAGTTTTGTCATCAAACACTCCTGACAGTCCTTTGGCTTTGACTCCACCAATTTAATTCATACCAAGGCTCATCCAAGGCTTATTGGGAGAAGTTTGATGATACAATCATAAAAAGATTAATGAAGTTACAAGCTGTAACAGGCTCTGAAGAGCCTAAAACTTTTCTAAAATTCTAACTCTATAATCATAAGTGTTTATTATTAGAAAATATCACAAACTTAGCAGAGGCTCAGACAAGGCAAAACCAAACAAAAAATAGTCCAAGAAATCTTATGCAGGATGCTTTAAGATGACTCTGCCATCTTAAAGATAGCATACGCAAGCGTCTATCCATGTGCCTAAAGGGGGCTGTCCAGAACAAGCACTGTCAGCTTTTAAAAGGGACTGTTTGAGATTTGATGGTAAGAATGGACACTGTGCCAGAAACCCATCTTTCAGGAGAACCATGTACTATCTGTCCCAGCATCTCCAGGGAAATGCTGAGTGTTTCATCAATCATCAAGTAGGATGTCACAGTCACCTCATCATCCATGTTTTTCTTTAAGAGGAGATCATTTGAGGTCATGTAGCAAAGCCACATTCACGCTGATACATCATTTTTTAGTTTCAGTGGGAAGTCAGTAAGAGTTGTGGTGATATACTTGTGCAAGAAGACTTTGTCCAGACAGGAGTTCACTGCAGGGGAAGATGAGGGGCAGATGTGACAAGGACTTCTATTTCCACATTTGCTCCTCAGGGGAGCTCCTGCAGCTGTCTACAACACAGGCGCCAGGGGTCTCATCAGAGGAACCATTAGTGAGCAGGATGAGGTGGTGAAAAGAAGGTCAACATGTAGCTTATGAAGGCAGAGGTTGGAGCAAGTGGGAAAGATCAGAGAGGTACCTCACTGGATGTTTTAGGCAGATAGTAGAGATTGACAGCAGGATCAATTAATTTCACATGAACTTAGGGCTAAAGAGAATCCCACAACTGCTTATCTTCAATGCTCTTCTTGAGAAGCCAAAGGCTCAAGCTCAAGGGCCCTCCTTGCAGCATTTCCCCTCAGCACCAGCCCTACCCTGACTCAAGAATTATAACAATGCCTTTCAGTTGTGCATGGTGAACCTGAACAAAGAGATGGCTCCTTTAAGGTGAGATTTAACACTAGCCTGGCCTGGCTCTGGGGACAAGGATGTTTCACAAATCTCTGGGTTCTGAAGACTCTTGCTAGGAATAGCGGGATGACTTCATTTGCTTTCCTGGAACAACAGAGCTGGAATAGCCAAGCTGGGGAGTCACTCAGGCCTGTAGGAGCTGAACTTGGCTGAATCCGAAAAGCAGGGATTTTTTTCCTTGATTCCTTGGGTTCTGGTAATTTGTGGACAAGGTCTGTCCCCACCATCCATGTGTCTAATATGAGAAGTCCAGAACAAGCACTATCAGCTTTTAGGGGGGCCCATTGAGACTTGAAGGGAAGGGCATGTTATCAAGCCTATAAGGATTGCTTTCGGAAGAGTCCAGGACAACTTATCCCAACAAATACAGGGCAAAGCTGATGCTGTCTTCAATCATCAGGTAGGATGCCCGCTCCTCCCATCTTTCATTTTTTTTCCCCCCAGAGGAGATCATTGGAGGTCATGAAGCACAACCTCATTCACGTCCATACATGGCGCTTGTTGTGTTACTTCATGATGGAAAGTTGGGAAGGTGTGGTGGTTTCCTTGTGGAAGAAGATATTGTTCTGACAGCAGCTCACTGCTGGGGAAGGTGAGGGGTGGACCCTACAAGGACTCTCCACATTCCTGCCACACGGGGGCGCTACTTCATCTGGGTGTAACTCAGTCCCAAAAGTTCTCATCATCAGAACCATTTGAGAGTGGGGTGAGGTGGTGGAAAGTGAGCCAACACGTAACCCATCAGGTCAGAGAATGGGGCAAGTAGAAGGGGTTAAGGAAGAACAGCACTGGCTATTTCGGGCAGACAGTGGAGGTTGAGAGCAGGGATGGTCAAGCCATTTCATACGACCTGAGGGCAAAAGAGAATTGCACAACCACCTACAATGCTGCTGGGAAACCAAAGGCTCAGCAAGCTCAAGATGAAGGGCCCCTCCCTCCAGCATTTCCCTCAGCAGCCGCCCTCCCCTCCCCACTGTCACCTGCTTTAGGGCTCCAGTTCTGAGAACCTCTTCTTTTCTCTGTGCACAGCCCCATGAATGTCATCTTGGGGGTCCATGATACTGAGTTTCAAGAAAAGACATGGCAGAAAATTCGTGTGAAAAAAGCCGTCCCCCACCCTAAGTATAATAATACGACTGATATTAATGACATCATGATACTACAGGTGAGGCACAATCCCTGCTGCTCCTGCTCCCTTGGGTTCAAGAACTTTCTTCTTCCACCAAGACCCCTGCCTTTCTCATCCTGGCTGCTTCACTAATCCCAGGCCCTGGAGGAAGAAATGATAAAGTGTGACCCATCAGGTTATGCAGGGTAGCAGGCTCTCAATGACCAAGTCTTTGTTGTTTCCTTCGTCAGCTGAACACAAAGGCCCAAATGACTGCTGCTGTGGGCCTAATCCCTCTGCCTGAAGAAAGTGACTATGTGAGGCCTGGGCAGGTGTGCAGTGTGGCTGGCTGGGGCAATATCTCTGACAGTGAACGAACAAGAAAGCTGCATGAGGTGGATCTTGTCATTCAGGAGCACTTCCAGTGTGAGCGCCGCGTGCCGGATTATGACAGGACCACTGAGCTGTGCATGGGAGATCCTCAGAAAAAGATTTGTTTCTCTGAGGTGAGACTTAGCATTAGCCTGGCCTTGCTCTGGAGATCAGGATATTTCAGAAAGTCCTGGGATGTACAGATCCTTGCTAGCAATAGGGGGAATGCCTTCACCCACTTTTCTGAGATAGTAAATGTACCAAATTACCTAGTCATTCAGCCCTCTGTGAGCTTCCCAGGGGTAAGATGGAAATGTGTTCCTCCAGAAAAAGGAATTTGTGACTCCTTATTCCATTCCAAAGGGATAGGTGGCCCAGGGGTAAGACACATCACTGTAATCCCAAAGGTGAGTCTCAGGGAAAAGAAGGGTAAACTCCTCCTGTGCAATTAATCATCTCTAAAACCTCACTGGAGGATCAGTTATGGGTCAGTTCACACTTGACAGCCAAACAACAACAATAACATGCCACCTCAAACATCCCTAAGGCACATTTAAATTTGTGATTTGAATCTTCTCAAAGGTGTTCCATAAACTTTATAGGAAAGAAAATCCAATGAACAGTTTGAATCTACAACCTTTAGGATTACTATGAACTGAGATGTCCAGAGCTGGTTTGAAATTTTTTTTTTTTTTAAATTTAATGTGGGGGAAGTAGAGAAGATTGCCCCACCCACCTAGGGCACACATGCAAGGAAAAGCTCTCCTTCCACATTGAACAATCAAGACTATATAAATACTCAAGAGCTGTCATCACCCTGGTCAATGTACTTACTGTCTTCCATCAACCATCTGCCTTTCCTTAAACAGTAGCCATTCCACAACTTCTTAGAAGGCAAGAGTCCTGAAGTTAGGGAAGGAGATAGATCACAACCTAGGCATGAAACAACAATGATGTCAAGCATCAAATTTTGGCACCCTGGAGGTCCCCAGAAAGGCAATAACCCCCCCCCCCTTTTTCACCTCTTTGGGGAAGCTTCCTCCCAGAATAAAGACGGAGGCAGGACCAGCAGAACAATTAACTCAGCCTCTCCTCTCTGTTCCCAGGGAGACTCTGGAGGTCCCTTGGTATGCAGAAATGTGGCCCACGGTGTTTATAGCTATGGAAGTAGAACTCAAATTTCCCCATGTATCTCCACCAATATCTCCAGTTTTTTACCCTGGATAAAGAAAACAATAAAAGGTCTCCAAATGGAAGAATCGCCCTGAGCCCCTCTGTGCTGGATCATCTTCTCTTAACAGCAAGAACCTTAATAAATGTGTCTTAACTGCAAGGAAATGATTGTGTTTTCATTATTCATTTACCTTTTCAGCAGACAGCAAATCTAGATGAGGGAGCTCTGGAGACCTAGTGGGTAAGGGGTTACACTGCCAAACCAAATGTAGGCAGTTCGAATCCACCAAATACCCCAAGAAAGAAAGAAGAAAAATCACCTATGGTGCAATTTATACCCTCCGAAAATCCAGAGCAGAATCAGGTATGAGCGAGTTCTGGCTTGAGGGAATGAGACTCTGTTCTTTTTTCTTTTTTGCTTTGTTGGGATTTTAATCCTCATTAAGGCAGACCTAGAACATAATCAAGTTCTGAATAATGCTCTTTTCCCTACTCTACATCCACAACAAATATGCTCTTTCTTATCTGTCGTATCTCTCAGGCTTGCCCTTCTGCAGGGCTAAGGCAGAACACCCTCAGTGGGAGACCCAAGCCTCCCAGGTTCTATGTGCAGATGAACTGTTCAGCTCTGCTTCCTGTGCTATGTGGCAGAGAGCAAGGGGGGCCCACTGGATTGAGAAAGACAAGCTGGTCCATCCTAAGGCTCTGAAAAGAATAAGAATTGAACATTTCTGCCTTATAATCAAGAAAACTGGCAGCTTTGAAGGGTGAGGACCTTGAGAACTTCCTCTTTCCCCTCTGGGATTCATGTCCTTCCTTAGCTCCACGCCCTGCTCTGAACTCATGGCCTGGTTCAGCATCTAATCTCCTGGCTACCCTTTCTCTCTCATGTCTGTTTATTACTGAGGTTTCTCAAAGTCCATCGGATCCTTTCTCTTGCAGCCCCCGGTGTTCTGAGATAGACTCCTTCCCATCTCTCTCCTACCCTAGGAATTCCAGTGACATGTGCGGTTCCAATAGGGCTTACAACAGAGTAGCCAGCCTTGGTCACTCCGGCAGAGAAGGACCTTGGAGGAGCTGACACCAGGCAGACCCTGAGAGGACAGACTTGGTACAATAACGCTCCAGAAAGCTTGGCTACAATTCTTACTGGACAGAACTAACTCAATCTCCTTCCAGTACCACGTCCAGCCCACTAGCAGTCATAAACTCTGGGACCATTGGCCACTTGTGACTCATTAGGCTTAATCCCTGTGAGCTTCTCTTTCTTTGTCATTAGTGGCCTATGGGCTAATAATACTGGATGATAACTCAACTCATGAAGTAGAGTCAGAACCAACACATACCTACCATGTGCTATGTCAGGCTTTTGGGCTAGAACAACTACCTTTGTGCAGCAGGACAATGAAGTACAACTTTTGCCACCAACAAACCAGCAAATACACACTGAACCCTGCTTAATGCCAGCATAGAAATGAACATAACTGATCCATCATCTGCAGCCAAGCAAAGTTGGACTGGGTACACTCAGTGGATTTGTCTACTGAATGGCCCTTTTTTAAATGAATGCACGTGGCCTAGATCTACATGGGACAGCTACGGAAGGAAAAGTACCTTTAATTGCTGGCCACTCTTTCTATAAGTTTTCATATAAGAAGTACAGTTTTAGATTTGGAAACAATTGTGGTTCATAGATACAAAGTTTCCCCGCTGTATTCACTAAAGCAACTTCATCTAGAAGAGGGGAAAATATACTACCAACTGTACAGATTCACTGTGTAGAAAAAACACACTTAGATGTTGGCCTTGAAAGCATTATGATGTGACCCTTAGCATCCATCCTATTAATGTTAGGAGAAACAATATTGTCATCATGACAGCAATTGTGACCTAAACAGAACTGACATCAATAACATCATTACCATTACATGTATCTAATTTTTTTATAAACCTGGCTTTCATTGTTGTTGTTGTTGATTGCATTCAAGCGGAGGACTACTCATAGCAACCCTATAAACAAAAGGCCTAAAGCTCCTCAACAACTATCGACATTTATCAAAGTTCATAGTGTTTCAGTGTTGTTTAGGAAGTAGATGCTTCTCTTGCTTCCAAATTAGCAGGAAATTTGTCTTTATTTGATCAATCTCGACATATGTATTTATTACATCTTCTACTACATGAGTCTCCTTCCTCCTACTCTCAGGCTCTGGCATCCCGTATTATTCACATTCTCTGTACTGATGCCTGATTTACCCTGTAGAACTTTGTTAGCCTTGGATTTGTATACAGAGACACTGTACCAGAAGGAATTGGCTGACACAGAAGAATTTCATGAAATAACATATGAACAAGAGTCTCTGTTGATGGAGGAAGTTCAAGTGGCTCAGAAGAAATTGGCAAAAAACAAGGCGCCAGTAGTTGACGGCATACCAATTGACATGTTTCAAAGAACAGACTCTGCCCTATAAGAGCTCACTAAGTTGTGCCAAGAAATCTGGAGGACAGTCAGCTGGTCAACAGACTGGAAGAAATAGATATTTGTTCCCATTCCAAAGAAAGGTGATGTAACAGAGTGTGCAAATAATCAAACAATATCAATATCACATGCAAGCAAGATTCTGTTGAAAATTATCCAGAAACAACTGGAGCAACACACCAACAAAGAACTGCCAAATGTGCAGGCTGGGTTTTAGAAAAGTTAGTGCTACTAGGGATATTATAGTTCATATTAGAAGGACCTGGGCAGAAAACAGAGAATACCAGAGGAGTGTCTATCTGTGCTTCATTGACTATACAAAGGCTTTTGACGGCGTGGATCACAACAAGCTGTGGCTGAGTCTGAGAAGAATGGGGATCCCAGAACATGTGATTGAGCTTATGTGAAATCTAAACTAGGACCAAGAAGTAGTCGTCAGAACAGAGCAAGGAGACACTGCACAGTTCGAAATAGGGGGTCTGGCAGGGATGTATTCTATCTCCGTAACTTCTCAGTCTGTATGCATAACAGGTGATATGGGATGCTGGGTTGTATGAGGTGGAATGTGACATCAGGATTGTTGTAAGATTCATCAACAACATGCCTTATGCAGATAACACAGTCCTGCTTTCTGAAACTGAGGAGGACCTGAAGCACTTGTGGCATAACATCAAGGAATGCAGCTTTCAACAAAGATTGAAGCTCAACATGAAGAAAACAAGGATTCTCACCACTAGGCCAACTGACAGCATCGGTATGGATGGTGAAGAGACTGAGATAGTTAGCAGTTTTAGTTTGCTTGGCTCCACAGTCAACACTCTTGGTACCTGAAGGCAGGAAATCAGGAAATGAATTACATTAAGTCAGTCAGCTGTCAGGGACCTCTCCAGAGTACTGAAGAGCAACAACATCAGGCTGGAGGCTAAGGTGCACCTGATCAGGGCTATCATCTTCACAGTTGTGTTCTGTGCAATGGAGAGCTGGACAGTGACTAGGGATGATTGAATGAGAAATGGTTTCTTTAAGCTGTGCTGCTGGAGAAGAGTGTTGAATATACCATGGACTGCTAAGAGAACAAACAGGTTTGTCCTGGAGAGGGTGAAGGTGGGCTGCTCTTTGAAGTCAAAAATTCTGAAGCTTCATCTGACATACTTTGGGCATGTTTCAAGGAGGGATCGATCCTTGGCGAGAAACACCATGTTTGGGAGAGAGGTGGGACAGCACAGGAGAGGAAGACCCTCGATGATATGAAGTTATTCAGTGATTGTGGTAGTGGGAGTAGGTTTGTCAGAAACAGTGAGGTTGACACAGGATAGCTCAGGGTTTAGAGCTCTTGTACATAGGGTCACTATGAGTTGCAAGCAACTCAACAGCACATAGCAACAACAACAATTTCAATCATCTCTCTGGATAGACGAGACCATGGATTCCTGCACGATTATATCACTTTGTAATTTAAATTCAATAAATATTGAGTCTAGAATTTTGTTCAGAATCATCAGCTTCTGAAAGTCCTCTTTGTGACATTATTTTTTTATCCAAACCTTCAAATCAAAACTCATTACTTTCAATTCTAAACAGACTCATAACTGAATCCTCACTGGCTTCCAAAGGCTGCAAATCCTACAGGAAAAGGATGCCCATATTCTCCCCAAGATTAGCTGTGAGATTAGACCCAGTCTAAAGGGAAGACCTTTGGGTAAGACCAGTACAGCCACTATTCTTCAGGTAGACCATTGTTCTGTGGCACTGTGGCACCTTAATGGTCCTCTTCATTCTTGGCCTGGAAAAAATCTCTTATATTTCCGACAATCTAGAAGCCAAGAGTCTTGTAAAATCCAAAAGGTATTTGTGTGTGTGTGTAATTCTGCCCAGGAGCGTTTCAGATGCAAGCCTACCTTTTGCTGAACCATACCTGAGTGGGATACAAAGGAGAAAGGATATATTTTCAAAACTATTCCTTAAGGTGGAAATGTCAGCTCTTCTCAACATTTACCTTCATGAATTCACACTCCAGCAATTGACAAGACACACAGTAGCCTGGACCACTTCAGCCTCTCTCTCCCAGATATAGTTGACATTCTTTTTTCTGGGCTAGGAATTCTTGGCTGGTAACTTGAGTTAAGTAAAATATTACAATGAAATGTGCAAGGAGCTGGAGTCAGAAAATCAAAAGGGCCGAATTCGCTTAGGATTTCTTAAGTTCAAGAAACCTCGAGTTGCTATAATCAAGAATGCTTTAATGCTTTAGGCAGAATATTTAATGATCCAGGAAATATTAAAGAAGATGGAAAGAATATACTGAGTACTGTATCAAAAGGAATTGGCAGACACAGAATTTAATGAAACAATATATAAGCAAGAGCCTATGATGATGAAAGAAGAAGTTCAGGCTGATTTGAAGGAAATAGAAAAAAAAAAAATAAAGGTCCAGGAAAAGATGGTATAGCAATTGACGTATTTCAGTTCACAGACGCTGTCCTGGACGTGCTCACCAGGTTGTGTCCAGAAATCTGGAAAACAACCACTTGGTCAACTTACTGGAAGAGATTTATGTTTGTTTCCATCCCAAAAAGGGTGACCCAACAAAGTGTGGAAACTATAGAACAATATCATTAA